TAATAAAACCTCATCATTCAATCTTAATCAGCAAAAGTCCATTAAGAGTTACCAGAAATAATATATGTAACATTGATCAAGTAAATCAATTTCATTCCATTTCCTTTCCACAGTAACTTATAACTTTCTCTAAACATACAACAGAAAAGATCTCCTCTTCCCATATTTTATATCTATAAGCAAACCTATAAATGCATATTGTTCAAACTTAATAAAACAAAATCCATTAACAGCTACCAGAAAATCTTGATCTTCAAATAACATCCCACAAATTAATTTCTTATTTCTCTTTGTCTCCTCTCAGAAATTACTTGCAAATTTGACACTTTCTTTCAATTTTAACATCATAACCCATCACTTTCTCTAATCATACAACAAAAAAATCTCTTCTCCTCATATCTTATCTAATAGCAAATCTTTAAGGCCTTGTCATTCAGCCCTGGTCAAGAAAAATCCATTAAAAACTACTAGAAGAAAAGACATCATATATTGTAACCTTGATCAAACAAACTGACTTCATAATCCTTCTTTCTGGTTTTAAAAGCCTTGATGTTTATTCCTTTTAAGAAATGTCCCAAAAGCTGATTTCTTTTCATTCTCTCTTTATCTTTTCTCAGAAACTCCTTATTCTCTCTTTATCTTTTCTCAGAAACTCCTTATTCTCTCTTTATCTTTTCTCAGAAACTCCTTCATAAGTGTAACACATCTCTTTTGTAAGTCCAAAATAAGAAAATTGTCCAAGTCACTCTTCTGTGTTGAAATCCACACATCCAAGACACTCTTCTGATTTATTATCTGAATGTCCCTTTTAGCTATTAAAACATTGTTGCCAAATATACTTTAAAACTTCCATTTGTTTGGTTTCATTTGTAAGTCCTGTGTAGCATCTTTGCCAATATTTTTGTATTCTATCATTTTAAAATCCATATCCAAAACAACATCTCCTCTTTAAAACCCATTTTTATAATATCAGACAATCTTAAGAGAAACCTCTGACTACACTGTTGCCAAATATCCTTTAAAACTTCCAGAGTTAAAATACTTTTCTCTATTCTGCATTAGTGGGTCTTCTCCTTTAATTGTAATCTTTAGTTCTTTCTGGTTGCCTCTAGTAACCAGCCTTCAAGGTCTCCTTTTATTATGTTTTTCTCTAATCCACACCATTTTCCCATGGAAAGATTTCTTACACTTAACTTCAAGATCTTCATATATTTTAATGGGATTTTAAACCACAGGAAGGACTCTTATAGTTAATTTCAAAATCTTATTTCCAGTTAATCTAGGTCCTCTTATAACTTTCCAAAATCAACATTCTAATCACCTTTTTGCTGCTTATTTCCAAATTAATTTTTTTTCTTTAAGTTCTTAAACTTACATGAAACTTCTTTCATTGAGGATTGAAGGAAGATCACCCAGTGAAACAAAACTTGTCTTTCTGAAGGATCTTAGCATCCAAAAAGCAATTTACATGCCATTTTCAGAAGTGATTAAGAAGGGAAGTAGACAAACTCAGTGTCTCTTTGAAGGCTCTGAACCATGGCTTGGGCAAGCTGACTCTCCCAGCTCCCAGAGCTCTAAAAGGCGTTAGAGACTGCTGTTATGTGGTCTCATCATAGGGAGCCTCTGGTTTATAAATTGTTAAAAACATGTAAAAAGAAGGAAATAACAAAAAACCAAAAAGAATAAAGAGGGCAGAAATAGCAAAACTGGATGGGAACAAAGAAGAAAAGGGATCACCCTTGCAAAAGGCCTGGGCAAAGAGCCAGGTCTTCAGGGCCTTCAAAACACTAGTAGGGTGGAGGCCATTTGAATCTCAGGGGGAACCTCTTTTCATTTCCATAAGGGCAATTTAACGTGTGTTTATTTTAGCAGAAACAAAACTGTTGGCAATATAAAGTTGGTGCCAGATGCCAGATTCTGTATTCTCATTTTTTCTCACCTACATTGCATTCTACATGCAAAACATAAACATTCCTGCTTAAAGATATCCTCACCTGGAAGTTCTTCCATGCTATTGACAGGACTGAAGTAGTTCTTGAGAGCACTGTAGCTATTCATTGCTACACTCAGATAAAATTCAGGCATGAATGCAAAGAGTGAGCCAATTCTGTCTCCATGTTCAATCGTACGAATGCACACTCGTAACAACCAGTATATATCTTGCATTTTCTCCTGGAAAGGGGCAATTCCAAGTTAATTTGTATTCAAGTGGAATAAAAAGTATATACGCAAAGGATTAGAAGAGAGCCAGTTTGGTGTAGTAGTTAAGGCATCAGGCTAGAAACTGGGAGACCATGAGCTGTAGTCTTGCCTTAGGCATGAAGCCAGCTGGGTGACCTTGGGCCAGTCACTCTCTCTTAGCCCTAGGAAGGAGCAAGGACAAACCACTTCCAAAAAACCCTGCCAAGAAAACTGCAGGGACTAGTCCAGGCAGTTGCCAGGAGTCAACACTGTTTTGAAAGCACAGACACACACAAAAAGGATTAGAACCTCTTTATAAATTAACTATGTATCCATCTAATGGAGTCACGGGTGACCAGGAATGCCAGGTAAGTAAGGGAGGAGACTGGTGGAGAGAGAAAGCACCCTATCCCCTCTGGTCCAGCCCACTTATTTGCCATGCTAACCACTGAGCAAGAAAAGTCTTTACTTCCACAGCCAGCACAGAGATGAAGTAGAAGAGAGAAGGAAATGGAGTGATTGGTCCCTCTTCTGTCAGTCTGTTGGTTGAAGTCACTTTTTTATTACTTTGTTAAGGGGGGCTCCACAGCCAGCCTGAACTTGAGCAGCTTGTTACTACTTTTTTCCTGGTAACAAGTCATATTTATAGGCTTATATACAAATCTGGATGAATATAATAACTGCAGAATCCAAGAATATCTTACATTAAAACATTCTGCAAAAACTAAAGAAAAAAACCAAAAAAGTTCATTATTAACATACATGGCTCTTTCACAATATAAATTCTACAGATAACTTTGCAAGAATAAAGTATACAAGCACAGGAAGCAATAGCACAACTTCCCTCAAAATCTATTAGGCTAGATTTGGAGTATCTGGCTCAGATTTAGCCATGGCATTCTAGAATTAAATTGCATTCCCTCTCACCTTTGAATAAATAGTAACATTGATCCAGGCAAGTCGGCGACTCAGGTGATTCAGCTTCTCAGAAAAAACTTTTTGACTCTTCACTAATTCTTCACAGATATCTCTCCTCTGAATTGAAAACAGAAGGATATGTGGAACAATATCTTTTCCTGTATTCAGGATTACATATACAGTATAATTCCCCAGGTGCTGGAGGCAGGATATTAGTGTTTTCATTTCCTCAATGTGGCTTTAGTTGGTTTTTATTTGAATGTAATTCTTTGTTTTTGTTTGTTCGCTGCCCAGAGTTTCTTGGATAGATGGGCAGTTATATAAATTAGATAAATAAATAAATATTTATATAACTTCCTATAACTTCCTAAGAGCCCTGAGTATGCATCTGGCACATATCTCAGGTTGATAAGATGCAGGCCAACAGTATGTTGGTTTGCAAGATAGTCTTTAGATTACAGATCCTAGCTTTGCGCAGAATAGTGAATATGCCTGGGCTAAAACTGGGCTTTGGTGGCATTTGTGGCACACTGGCCAAAAAAATGCCCAAACTGACTCTACTGTCCTTAACCATTGACCAAGGATGCTGTTCAACACATGGGTAAAATTAGGCTGGTATGCTAATCTGCTATTTTTCTATCTTATTAAAAAGGATTGTGTGAAACACTTGATTAATGGGCAGTGGATGTCAATAACTATTGGGACCATCTGATCAAGACCATGACATATGGAGGACTATAACTTAGAATGTAAGTGAAGTATAAAGAGTATGAATTACCAAATGAAATGAAAGAAAGAATAATAGGTATGTTGGATATCTGTGAAACTAAAAGAAAGGGAAAGGGTGTAATGAAGGTGGTCTGATCTTATGGAGTAGAGTTGAAATTGATGCAGAGAAGTGAAGGTGTAAGTTTAATTATGAAACTGCTAATGAGCACATTAGAATACATTAGTTAGTGTCATCTAGATTTCTGTGAGTGCATATGAAAGTATACTCTTCCTTATTTATTCAACTTATATGTTGAATATATATTAAGGGAAGTTGGATTGGCAGAAGATAAGTGTAGTTTTAAGACTGGAGGAAGATACAGCAATAACCTGTGCTATGTTAATCACACTACTCTGACAGAAGAGAATGCAAGCTCTGGTGATAAAAGTCAAGGAGCACAGTGAAAAAATAGGACTAAAATTAAATATAAAGAAGACCAAACTAATGACAAAAGGTAGAACAACCAGCCTTAGAATTGGCAATGAAGATACTGAAGTGGTGTATAGCTTCTGCCTTTTAGGATCAACCATCAACAGCAAAGGAACAAGCAGTCAAGAAATACGCCACAGATTAAGCACTTGGTACAGCAGCCACAATGGCCTTGGAAAAGATATTCAAGTACTGTGATGTGTCTATGTGTACAAAGATCAGAATAGTATAGGTAATGGCATTCCCTGTGACACTCTCTGGAAGTGAAAGTTGGACTTTGAAGAAGCAGGATGGGAAGATTAGTAGTGCTTTTGAAATTTGGTGCTGGGAAAAACTCCTGAGAATACCACAGACAATCAAGAAAACAAATAATGGATAATTGGGCAAATCAAACTGGAGGTTTCACTCAAGACACAAATGACAAGGCTCAAATTATCCTACTTTGGACACATTATGCAAAGACTTAGCTCTCTGGAGAAGCCTCTAATGCTGGGAAAAGTGGAGGGAAAGAGGAGAAGAGGATAACCAGCAGCAAGGTGGATGGACTCAGCTACAATGGTGATGGGTGCATCACTGGAAGGACCAGGTTAGGGATAAATTGTCATGGAGAAATCTATCTATATGGTCACTAAGAGTCAATGCCAACTTGAAGGCACGTAATTGAATGAAAGTAGGAATTTATAGGTGTTAATTGCATGTTATGTTCCAATGAATGGTGATAATGACAGAACAAGAGCTTTGTGAAAAATTATGCAACAATCTTGATATGATTCAGGGAAAAAATGGACTGCTAGATGACACAAATGAATGACTGGGAATAAGATGAGAGAATGCAAAATAAGTAAGACCAACTACAAGGTGTGGAGATATACAGTGAATAATATTTAGATTTATTACTCCACCCCCCTTATCTCCTGCCTTTAATTTGTTTTCCTTACTAATTTTTATCCTTTTTCTGGGCTTTGCATAATAATTCCCCTAAAGGCAATAGCAAGAGGGGTATGTATGCATATAGTAAAAGCCCAGCCACAGTAACAGGTATTCTTTTATTCTCAAGTTCAACTGCCATGGCCAATGCTCAAGGTAATAGACCTCATATAAAGGTCAGAGAGAATTAGAATTAACAAACCAGTTAACGAACTAAATGCAGAGACAAAACTAGGGTTTATCATTATACAATCATTATCATCATACAAAATACACATGATATACATTATATAATCATTATCATTATACAATAATGATGTATAATGTGAGTGCATATGAAATGTGAACTTGCTACACACACACACACACACACGCACACGTATAAAATGTGTATCATGTATACAAGATATATGTAATATACATTATACAATTACTATCATTATACAAGCCTGTACATGCAATAGGGTACTATTGCATTCAAATGGAGAATAAGACAGACTTAGTCCAGGACAATTCTTAGAAAATTAGTAATAGTAATACTATGCTGGTCAATACTTGAATGATTCTCAATGAAGACGTACAGAAGGGAGGCAATTCCTGTTTCAGTTAAGGGGGTGGAAGGCTCTATAAAATAATTCTGATTTCTTTCTTTAACCTGGAATAAATCTGAAAATTTACTTAAGCATTCCTCCCAGAAAAATGATATGAATTTTTCCCAACTGGAAAGGCAGGTCAGAGAAGATTTTCTTACCCTCTCTGGGCATCGGTTGATCTTTTCTTCAGTATCTTTCAATGCCATAGCATACTCATTCACATCATCAGAAACACCTACCATCTGAAATACAATTAAATGTCAGTAATGCCAGCTACAGTTTTTTAACACATTAAAGAAAATGGTGGGATATTTGCCAAAGGTAAAGCAAAAAGGCTGAATGTGATCAGAGCAGCAGCATCAATATTTTGCAAGGCCCAGCACTGATTTTTACCATAACATATAAGTGCAAAATTAACATCTTGAGGACAGAACTACAAAATAGTGACAGACCCCTGTTAATGGCAGGCTATTGCCAACAGCAATAAAACAACATGTTGGAGGGTACTCTCTAGCAAAATAACTTCCTCTGTCTGCTACTTTCTCACTTGGAATCCTACATCACCTTAAGTTATTTTCTATCAGTCAGGTTTATTTCTAGACTTGGGAGTTTAAGACCTCCGCAGCTTCTGCTTTATGGAAATTATTAGGTGCCTATTGTTTTACTGATTCTTAGTGACCAAAGACATTAAATAACATGGATCTGTCATCATAAGGTATAGTATCAGGCAAAAAACAGATGAGTAAATATTACAAATCTGGTGCTTCCCACCCTTTCCTAGTGGGTCCTTGTTTCTTTAAGTGAATTCTGATCCCAGTTCTGAGACAGGACTAGGAATTCCACTAAAATGAATCCTGCTCACCTTACCAAGCTGCTGATGCACGCTGAGGTTGTACATCATGACTATTCCATCCAAGATTTCCAAGAGAGAATTCTCAGTTATTGGTTGATCCGGCTCTTCTGTAGGTTTCCCCAGTAGAAGACCCTCGTTTCCATGGCTGCCTTCAACTGTCATAAAAACAAAAAAGAGTTTCTAAGCAAGCCACTGCTGAGTCTATGAATTTGTAATTGTGAAAAAAGAGGATCTATGATTTTCTGAATGGAAATGTTGCTACCTTAATCATGAATTTCATTCATGCTACATTAAAACTAAATCTAAATGGAAAAAAGTCTATAGTTGATTTTCATTCTTTCACACATACTCTCCCCTACTAACTCACTTTCTTTTCAACCTATATTCAAAAGGAATGAACCTTGCCTCCTTCTCTTCCTCCTCCTCTTCAACTGTTTACTAGAATAATTAAATCTAATTAATTTTCTATTCTTTACTTGCTACTCTGAAACCATCTGCAGGTGCAACAGTTCTCACAGTGTTTCAGGCAGAAGGCACGTAGCTTGCATTCTAGAATTAGAACACATCCACATACCAACTAAAAAGAGGTAGAAATCTTGTCCTTCAGCCATAAAATACACTTCAGAGTAAAATTATCCTACTTCAGCACATTATGCAAAGACCCAGCTCTCTGGAAAAGGCTCTAATGCTGGGAAAGATAGAAGGAAAGAGAAGGACGACCAGCAGTAAGGTGGATGGACTGAGTTACAGTGGCGATGAGTGCACCATTGGGAGACTTGGGTTAGGGATAGATCCTTATGGAGAAAATCTATCTATGTG